ACATTGTTCAACAACATTTTTATTCCCAGATTTATTTTTACGTACTATTATTGGTTTTTATCTAAAATAAAGGAAAATGTTTCAAAACTTGATTATCTAAATTTTTTTTGCACACAAGCTCAAAGACGATTTCGATACATTAGAAGAGTTATAGTTTATAAATAAAATATGTATAATGACCTTTAACAGTATAAAGTAACACTATAGATTGAAAACCTTTTTATACCAAAAAATATGTTAAATGGTTGATTATGGTGAAATTAGTGAATAAATAATCCAATAATTTTCAAGATCAATTACCAAAGTTTATGTAAAAAATATTTTTCTCTATCAATATAATTTTCGATTTTATTTAACATCAATCCTTTCTCTAATTCAAGAATGTGATAAAGCATCATATAAGCTTGCCGCTAAAGTCTTTTTATTCCTGGTTTTCTTGTTCTACACTGAAAAATTATTTTCCACGATTTTCCTGCACTTTCCATGCATATTCAGAAATCGATTCCCATGACTTATATGTGCCTGATAAAGCCCCGATAATTTTGACACAGGAAGAGGCATTAATACACACACACATTATAGAGTACCACACAAATAATATTTAATGTAATTATTTTTGTAATATTTTATTTTAACCAACCTTGTGAAGCTGTAAACGTTCTCAGGGCAAGACAAAACTTGTTTATTCACCCATCATTAACTCAGCTTATTTGCCTGATCGGTGAATTGAGGTTGCAATGTATTGTTTTTTCGAAAAGCTTTATTTTTGAAAACAAAGGACAAAATGTATGGGATAAACTGACCCATGGAAACCCCCCACAAAATAAAAGATAGATCTAACGGCGACATAGCTCGTAACACTTACTACAAATTCTATGAAGATGTCAATCTCTTGAACGTTGATTTCTGCAAATTTTCTATTTGTTGGTCCCGAATATTACCAACTGAATATACTAATTCAAGAAATGCCGACGGCATTCGTTATTACAAGTACTTAATTGACGTTCTTATTTCGAACAATATCATCCCAGTTATTACAATATTCCATTGGGATTTACCACAATCGCTACAAACAATGGCGGATTGATGAACGAACATTTGATCGTTGCCTTTAAAAATCGCGTAAATTTATTATTTTGTTATACATTTGATGATCCTAGCAAGTTTCGTTTCAACAATTACTATCAAGGTGACACTTTTGGCGCAGGGTTAATACATGAAGGAAATAGCAATTATTTGTGTGCTTATACCGGTTTGAATTCCCATGCAACTTTCAATACTTCGGTTCAATATACCAACATACGTCGAGAATCAGGCCTTCAGTTTCGCGATGCTTCATCGTTTAAATTTAAAAAACAGAAGTTCTAGGACCATTACAGGCTAGAAAGCTAATCTAAAAGTTATACAATAATTTTATGAACTGATTAAATGTTGAATTATGATCATTTATTGTATGTAAGACTTGATTCGTTAAATCCAAGAATCACCTCAGCCGTCCAAATTTAAAGTTGATGCGAGAAGTTTCCTCTAGCCAATTACAAAGCAGCATATTTGCAAGCCCCTAATTACATATACTCTAATATTTCTATTTATGCGATTTCTATTTGTGCAAGATGTTCCCATAGATTGAAGGTATTCCAAACTCTGCAATCGTGTATCTAAATTTGCAACGGGCCTGATACATCAATTACGCTAGCTTTATCAACACATTAATTATATGCAGCAATCAATGAGGTGAGAACCGAAATATTGAAATTGTTCTTATACGTTTATTATTAATCACAAATTCATAAGTTTCCTCAGCATGGTCATTAATCCAGTTTCAAGTGAAATACCAAGCGACCACATTGAAGTTTCTCTATAGTATAAAAATTGGAGTTACTCTCCCATGGAAAATCACACAAAATAAAGGTTAAATCTATCGGTAATGATGTTCAACTCTTGCGACATATAAAAGCATCCAAATCAAAAATATATTTTATAATAACCATTAACAGAGAAAGGCGGACGAATAAACGCTCAATTTTATATGAATTTAACGATCGTACTAGATTTTGTTTTGAAAATGGTATTTATTACACGCAAGGAAATGAGCATAAAGATAATTACTATTTCCTTCGTGTATTAACCCTTCGCCAAAGTGTCATCTTGATAATAATTATTAAACCAATATCTACTACGATCGTTAAATGTGTATATAAAATAATAAATTGAATTAATTTTCAACGGCAACGATCATTTGCTCGTTCATCCAACCGCCATACTCTTGTTACAAGTATGGTTAATCCCAATAAAACATTGTAATAACAGTTTTTGATAGTATTCGAATTAAGCTCGTCAATTAAGTATTTGCAGTAACGAACACCATCGGCATTAATTGAATTAGTATTCCCAGTTGGTAATATTTGGAACCAACAAATAGAAAATTTGCAGAAATCAACGTTCAAGAGTTTGACATCTTCATGGAATTTGTGGTAAGTGTCACAAGCTATGTTACCATTAGATTTGTCCTTTATTTTGTGTGGATTTACCTAGGTCAATCTACATCACGTATTTTCTCTTTAACCCGCGAAAAATAAAGTTTTTCAATAAAAAATACGATTTGACACGTTAACATCTTGCAAGAGTTGCATAGCCGTTAAATTTGTCCTTTATATTGTGTGGTTTTCCACGAGTAAATTCATATCCATATTTTTATATTATAAAGAATGGCAATGTGGTCGCATTGGAATTTCACTTGATTTACAATGGATTCAAATTAACTACTTGATGTGAACATTGAAGTAAAATAATAAAACCATATTTATTCTAATTATTAAGTTTTTCTGATTGTTGGATTGGTTTATGAATCCAATTTTTAATTATTTATCCAAATAAGCTTTTGGATAGAGAGTGACATGACTAAAATTTGAGCTGTAGTTGTGTAAAAGACTATGTCTAAGATAATCTTTTATTTCTTATTACTTTTTGTGGTGGGGTTAATGTTGTTCCATGGGAAATTAAAATTTTTTTGAAAGGAAAGAAGATTTTCGAACACAAAATTGCTAACTTGATCTTTTAGATTTGCACATTAGTCAGTATAGATTTTATTTTCTTTATAAACATGAGATATTTGTAATAATTGTTTTGGTTAGGTTTACTTGGAAAACGTTTTACAGCTACACACAAGGCTGGTTCTTTAAATAGTTTCTAGTTTTCTCTGCAATTTTCAATGGTATCAATGATACGCCTAAGATATTTAATATTTTATAATCAAATTAATTAATAAGTTCAGTTCTATTCTTGCTAGATATTTACGGAAACATGCTAAAAAACATAGCTATATGATACAAAAATATCAAAATAGTTGCACCTTCTATCAGCTTAGTTCAAGACCCTGGGTTAAGCATAAAGCTGTGGCTAGATTTAAAAAGGTGAAAGCGTGATAACTACAGAAATCATTCAAATCAGAAAGTTATACAATACGAAAAATCTCCTACTGATCCCTATGTTACAAATGGTGATAATAATAAAACAGATACTAAAAATGAAGATAAATAGAAGTATAAATATTCAAACATACAATAATGGTGAATAGTAAACTGTAAATTAGATAACGTTTTGTACATGCTCAAAGAAATATTAAAAATTATAAAACAAGATATATACAAATTAAATGGAAAATGTTTTACGCCACAAATTAGAAGTACTTAAGAATTATATTAAAACGGTAGAAAATAATGTTAATATTAAAATTAAAAGATTATACATATATACATAATGGAAAATTTCGTGAATTTATTGCATCTAAGAGAATTGAAACAACATAATTAATCTCCAGAAAAGTAAGAGTTATGTTATAGACAAAGAAACTACTTAAATATGTTTGTGCTGAAGCAATTAATACTGGTGTATATATTAAATAGAATACTGTTTAAAGATGAAACAACACCACATGAAACATTACATTGATCCTTTGCATTGCTACATGCGAATTTTTGGATCAACCGTCTATATTGCTAATATTCTAAAAAAGATAAGGAGTAAATTATGTATCAAGTTGTATTAAAAAAAAATAAAGAAAGCAATACTATGAAGAGACGAAAATTGTATATACATATAAATATAAACAGAGAAATTAGATAAAAACACAGACAATAGAAATTAAAAAGAAATGAATAAACATAATAGTGAAGGATAAAATGATGAATGTAATATAATTATTTACACCTGAAACTTATGAAAAAGTTATAACCTATTTTAAGTTGAAGCAATGAAAAGGCTTATAGAAGATGAACTTAAACCTCATGAAGAAATTATGAAATAGGGAAGATAGGTCCAAAACCAGAAAATGTTAAAGGAATTGAAATTAAATTTCTTTTCAAAAAAGCCTGATAATACTAGAATAAGATATAAATTAAGAGTGAGCAAAAGATTTTAAACAAATGCATGGTATACAGTGAAACAACATTAAAACATGATTCATTACAAATATTATTATTGATTGCAGTTAACAATGATTTGAAGTCATGCAATTTGATGTTAACACCGAATTTTTCTCTGAAGATTTAAGTGAAGGTATTTATACAAACATTTCAACAGGTATTGATGATAACACAGATGTGGTTTGCAAATGAATCAAGTTTTTCTACGGTTTAAAACAACCTCGCATTGTTAGAATGAAAAATTTACAAGAAAACTTTAAGAAAATTTGGTTTTAAATGAAGTGAAGCTGCTAACAAATAATAATATAATTCATTTATTATACAGATTGTCTCTGAAATGCTTGTACAACGGAAGACCACAGATTCCTTGGCTCAAAATAGGTCGATTTAAGTTATCTATATCTTAAGTTGCTTCGTGTCGCCGCTAGAGGACTTCAAAGTTAGCAAAATAAATTCTTTTCTTTTTATAATTCATAAAGGCGTATATCAATTTAAACCATTTTTCAGAAGTGAGTACAACTTTAGAAAAACAGAAATGATGGAAAAATCATGTGTTCAGCGGGTATTACCCCATATTTTTTTTACTGGTGAAGCAACGTTTGGAAACCTTTTTGTCTCCTATAAGATTTTGATTACGTAAAGCCAGAAAAAAGGCATTTTGAAATATATGCAAGCCTTGTTTACGTCATAGCAATACAAAACCTCATCGTAATTGGCACTGTTTTAAGAATCAACTTTGGATATAGATAACTTAATTTAAATCGACCTATTTTGAGCCAAGGACTCTGTGGTCTTCCGTTGTACACATATTTTGGAGATACCTGTATATTAAATAAATCAACTTAATAATAAAAAATAAAATGAATATTACAAAATTATTTACACCTGAAACTTATCAAGAAGTTATACCTTGTCATGCATTCAAATAATGAAAAGATCTATATAAAATGAACTCATGTTATCAATATCATGAAGAAAATTAAACATAGACTGGAAGAAAGCTTTAATTAAATAAACGAATTGTTTATTTATTATTAGATGTTCATTTAGTCAAAGATGAGTTTTTAAGGGAAGCTGAGAAAGTAGCATATCAATGCTTGATTTTTAAATTGTTAGAAAGAAATCCTAAAAATTAAACGTTGAAAGGTATTATAGAAAACAAAGTAAACTTTAATTAAGTATTTAGAATTTCTCGCTTCTTACAAATATTTAAATAAGGATGCTAAACTTTTAGCATACTCAGATTATGGTAATGATCCGCATAGAAGACCATCAAGTTCTAATTACATTTTAATATTAATTAGTAATGACAGAAACTAATTCACCTCAGTTTATGCACCAAACAATTTTCTGGATAACAAGTTAATAATTTATTTAAAGTTTATAAATCAACGCTAAATTAAACATTAATATTATTAAGTGTAATGTTAAACTTCTTGTTTAAACTATTCATCACAAATTTCTTTTTTTGATCATTCTAATTAAACCAAATTTTATTTGAGACATAAGTCATCATTTTCAAATGTATTAGTAAGCAGCACATGTTCATATTATTTTAATAATGACAAATCCAGTCAATATTTTAATTTAAAAAGAAAAGTTATTGTTAAATCCTGTGTTATTTAAATCGAAATCAATCATGACTTTTTGATTAATAATACATGCTAAATATTTTGTTTATCATATGGCATGCAGACATACTTTCAATGTTATCTGCATAGTTAACTGGAATGTAACGTGATATTATAGAAACAACTTCTAGGAATTTATTTGGAGAAACATATCAATTCTTTTTGCAACCTTATCAAGTGATTCATCATTGTTATTCAACACGTTAGAGATTATTCTGGTATTAGATAGAATTGTACCAGTAACAACATGGTAATTGATAACAGAAAATAAATTAAAATCAATCCCGTTTATTAATGATTTTCTTTCTTTGCTAGAATAAAAAATCCTCTATGAGATTTTTGGTAAAGGTTTTCAATGTCACATTTCTTATTATAAATCTATGTAACTGTAAAGGCGAATCTTGGCACTTAATTTTTCTATATTTAAAAATCAAATTATCCCTTGTAATAACTTTTCTAATGTAGACTCGAATAAATCACTAGTTTGTCCTTGTGGTTTGAAATGTTTAAATATAAGCCATAAGAAACAAATATAACAATGAATATGAAAATTTTGAGACTAGTATCTTAATTGCAAACATTTAAATCATTAATTTTCCTTTATTTTAGGCAAAAAAACCAAAAATGCCTAAAACACCTGAGGAATAAATAAAGAATTGAACTTGTTGAACAATCTAATCAAATAACAATTAGGAAACGTTTAATTTTCGTTTTCCTCTACATCAGATCGCATTTATCTTTCGCTACGCGACTCGTCGTCTTACCACCAACTTGTAAACTGACGTTCCTTGATTTTTCCATATTCAGCAACTCTTGGAAAAGTTGTTTTACATTGTGGTTGGTCTTAGCTGAGGTTTCCATAAAATTTACACCCCAACTTCCAGCTTGTTCTTGGCCCTCTGTTGTAGTCACCTATTATATTTAACATCATTAACAAAAAAAAAGTTGAAAATTTAAAATAACAATTTTATCACCTCTCTTAATTCCGCGCTTTCATCGCACTTGTTCCCAACAAGCATAATAGGTATTTGACTAAGATCTGGTCCCTTGATCTCTTTAATCAGTTCCCATATTGGTTTAAGTTCTTCTAAACTTTGCCTACTCGAGACTGAAAACACCAAAATAAAAGCGTGTCCTTTGCTAATCGACAGTCGTTGCATTGCTGGGAATTGATGTGATCCTGTTGTGTCCGTTATTTGTAGAGTACATATGTTTTTATTGCAGCTAATAACCTAAAAGTTATTTAGAAAAAGGGCAAATTAGTATCAAGATGAAAAGGTCAAATAACTTACCAAAAAGAAAATTAAATAAACACATCAAGTACAAGGCACAACATTAAATAACTAAAAAGGAAAATTAAAATAAATAAATACTATAAAAAAGAGTACGAGAAGGAATAAAAATGTTATTGGAATATAATCAGAAAAAGAAATTAAATTGATTTGATATTTACCTGTCGATAAGTATCTTCTATAGTTGGTATATAACTTTCCCTAAAAGTACCCTTAACAAATCTAAGTACAAGAGAACTTTTACCAACACCGCCGGCTCCAAAAACGACGACTCGATAATCATTGCTCTGTTCCGGCATATTTACAAGTTCGCAAGATTTCTAATTCGGATGAAATAACCGAGATAAAACAACTAAACTCACACTAAGTTAACACGCATCGATGGCATCTTGAGCGGTCGGCGGTCATAATATTTCTGCAACGACAACGTTAACGGTACGTAATAAAACAACGAGGGGGGCGCCGGAATTAAAGGAAAAATAAGTCGTATTGATTAGCGACACCAACGTCAATTCAACTTTCAAACCAAATTTGACAAACACCATCTTTCAAAAACTTTTAATTGTCATTAATAGAGGGCGAATTACGTCAAATTGACATAAACTTAATTTTTGATTTTATGCAATAGGTGTCGCGACGAATTCTACTTTAAAACTTTGAAGTGAAGTGATTAAAGTTAATTTTAATTGTCAAAGCTGATTATAATTAGCAAGAAAATCTTATTTTATTATTAGAATAATTTAAAAAAGGATATTTAGTTAATCCATTTCTGGATATAACATTTATTAAAAGATGTATTCGTAAATATTACGTCAAATTGACGTAAAGTTAATTTTTGGTTTTATGCAATAGATGTCGCGACGAATTCTACTTCAAAACTTTGAAGTGAAGTGAATTAGGTTAGTTTTAATTGTCAAAACTGATTATAATTGGATTAATTAGTAAGAAAATCTTATTTTATTGTTAGAATAATTTAAAAAAGAAGTTTCCATTTCAATTTTGAATTCATTTTTATTCTAACAAGTTAATGTATTACAAAATTATTTTATCGAAGTTAACCCAAGATAAAAGGATTTATTTCCTAATTACCCAACAAAGCCATTTATCACAAAACTCGTCACCAAAAACATTTTAGCATTCAACCACTAATGATAATGAACAACGGTTCTATAAAACGAAGGTTGTGATCAAAGTTCATTTTGCACACAAACTTAACACCGACCAGTTTTTACTTTCATCGGCGCTTGCAGTAGCTGTTCGATTTTTTTCAAGTGTTTGATTACATTTTTATATTGTTTACTTTCGATTTAATAACGGTTTTTATCTTTTCAACAAAGATAATGAGAGACGATTAAAAAGAGATTTAAGCCACCGAACCATCGCCTTGACAGACTTATTTTTGTTTTTGTGTTCGTCGCGTTGTGCGTGATCTGTGTATTTAGAATGAATATTTCCCGGCTAAAATTAATTACTTTCGACGTAACGAACACGTTGTTAAAGTTACGTTCCAGTCCCGGCAAACAATATGGTGAAATTGGCGCGATTTACGGTGTATTACGAGATGATAACAAGTTAGCGGAGAACTTTCGGAAACAATGGCAAAAAATGAACAGGGAGTATCCAAATTTTGGATTAAGGTCGGGTTTACATTGGTCGGATTGGTGGAAACAAGTCGTTAAAGGAACGTTTGCGGATACGTCCTATTCCATTGAAGATAGCAAACTGGATCATATTTCAACACATCTTATTGATTTATATAAAACTTCTATATGTTGGCAACCGTGTTTTGGTGCTAAAGACTTGTTAATTTATTTAAGCAAAAAAGAAGGATTAACAATAGGAGTTATTTCAAATTTTGATCCTCGGTGTAGTACAGCTTTAGAAAATACCAAGTTGAGGGAGTATTTAAAATTTGTTTTGACATCTTACGAAACTGGTTATGAAAAACCTGATCCTAGGATTTTTGAAAAAGCGATGGAAACGTCTGGAATTCCCGACTTAAAACCTGAACAATGTTTACATATTGGGGATAGGGCGATGATTGATTATTCCGGGGCTAAAAGTGCTTATTGGAACGCTATTTTAGTCAATGATAAGCATCCTGAAGAAATTCGCCAAAAATATCCTTACGTCGATTTAAAATTAATTTTTCAAAATTTGTATGATTTACATGTGTATTTTAAAAATATGAAATAAATGTTATTTACAAATAAAATGCTTTTTTGACTCCTTCAGATAAAAATTAAATTATGTCCAAGTGTCTTTTCCTTAAAAAATAAAATTCGAAGAAGTAAGAAGGACAATATTGCCAGAATGGTTTGTTTGCAGAATTAATTGCTTTAAATGTACATGCGTAATTCCATATTGATTACAACCCATTCCATATTGGCAAGGTTCATAGACAGAAACTAACAAAAAAGAACAGCCAAGGAGCAAGACGAAGAACAAAACACAAATAAACAACATTTTAAAATAACTTAAATATCAACAAACAAAATGTTGAAATGTAAAGGAAAAAACTTAACTTGCCAGTACTAGGCATTTGTCCATTGACGAACTTCCTCCTGCAACACTGAGATTCCAGGAGAAATTCCTAAATCTGACTTCAAAGTTGTACACCGGTAGGATCCAACCCTGACATAACCTTCAGTTTAAAGTCATTTACTACAACTGGTGTGTGACCTTCACCTTTATTAGCTGATTGCCGAACCTTCTACTTGAAACTTAAGGTCAAGATTATGCGGTGTAATCTTAAATGTTCTTGAGGTCAAGAGTATCGTCATTGGCGTTACGCGAATTATATAAATTTTTTCTACACATAGTGTAAGAGTCAATTTAATAAAAATATACACCAAGAGTGATTTAACCAGTAGACATTTTGCTTTCAACTTGTAATTTAAAACTTATGCTTTTGATGATGTAGATAACCAAATCAACATATCATTATAGGCGCCATCTTAAAGTGTACTGTTGAACTATTTAACAGACATGATGTGGTTGAGTATCGCAATTATATTTTTCTAATTATTATGTTACATAAGAAAAGTAAACTATAGATATGAATATCTTTTGAAAATAAGATTTTAAACAATCTTCCCTGCATCATTCTCCTGTTTTTTTTTGTAAAATTGCTTTGTATTATCGACTCTTACACAAATCCCTTTAAAAATACCGCCATCTAGTAAACAAAAATGTAACAAATTAAGTATGGTAGAAATTAGCATTGATTTATATAACTAATGATTTACTGCATAAATAAATTAATCCTAATTATATAAAACTAATAAATTAAAAATAAATTCCAAAAATGTGATAAATATTTACCTGTAAAATATAAATAAAAGCACGCTCTCTATCGGATAAATATTGCACCAACGTAATGTTATCAATCAACAAACGAAAATTCAAAAGTCAGCATAGATTTTTAGACCGGCAAAGTTAAAACGTGCGTTAGTTTGGTGCCAAAAATTTCAAAAGAATCACATCCAGGAATCTAAAACGGGCATGCCACGGTTAAATTCCTAAGGTTGGTACCTGAAAATCGATGGAAATCGATTTTCCCGGGGTGATTCATCCCCACCGACCCTTGTTAAACGTAAAAACACCCCTGTGTCCGGGTCAGTCCTTTAAATGCCGACGAAGAAATTCGGAAAAATGCCCCCCGAACAAGAAGATTATCACAAATTATTTCACGAACTGTATAAATTGCATCCCGACACGAATAGGTGAGTTTTTAAAACACTCGACATAACCTCGAAATGTTAACAACCCCTTGGGTTATTTTTGTCATTTAGAAAAAAATTAGAGTGGAAAAAGAAGAAGAAAATGAATAAGGGGAAGTATAGAAATAAGAATAAGATGGAATTATTGAATGACAATGACTCAGTCCCTCCCCCAGATATGGAATTACCCTCAAATGCATCGTCTTTTGCTATGTTCGCATCTGTTCGATTAGCTGTTTTGGATAGGTGGAATCGATATGCAAACCAAGAATATATTCAAAGTAGTAGTTGTATCCCCGTACCAATTATTGATGATATTGCATATCAACAAAGTGATGATAGTGATGATAATGATGATATTAGTGATGTCTCTAAATATCCAGTTACACCTCATGTGGTTGGTTTAGGATTAAAATCAGTTTTCACATTAATTAAAGAGAGTCGAAACACTTATCCAGGTTTATGCACCAAAGCTTTAGTAGCTTTATTCAATGTTTTACAAAATCAAACACCTGAAAGTTTAAGATTGGAATCAGATGAAGTATGTGATTCATTATTTGAGATATTACAAGATTTAGCCACTTCACATGGACCGGAAAGTTCTGTACCTAATAATGGAACTCATCTAACAGCTTTAGCATGTGCTTGTTTATTATCTTTGGTTGTTGCACGTGGAAATACTGGGAAATTTTTGTCCGCAGCAGCTTCATTAATAATGTGTCCGAGAGCATTAAGTTTACAAAATATTAAGGTAAAATTATTTTTGATGGGAAAAATAAATAATATTAATATTTCTTTGTCATTTTAGATGCCACATATTTTAACGGATTTACAAAGAAGCGTTCAAAGTGTCTTTTTAGGAAAAACAATGAAAACGGATTATTTTCTTTTTGGAGTTCCCCATCAATCAAAAATGTTGACATTTCCAATAACTTTTCCATCCAGTGTGGAAAAAAATACTTTTGAATTTAAATCTATGACATGCGATGGTCATTATTTATTTATTTTCACCAATCAAGGTTTATTTAAAGTTGGTACAAGTTATGGTGGAACTGTTAGGGGTCATGTGTACATGTATAAACCTGATTTTTATCCTAAAGATACTGGAACCATTTTGTATTGTGAGGTAATTTTGTTATCAGTTTACTTGTGGTTTTGTTGGATGTGGTTTTGTTTTAATTTTTAATTTTTTTTTTATCAGGGTAAATTATATATTAAATTGGATGGAAGGAGAGGTTGTGAATTCTTAATAATTGATAAAGATTCTCTTTTAATAACCGGATCTGTACAACTTCATTCAAAAGATGCGACTGCTTCGGCGGTTTTTTCTTGTGGGAATTTCCTTGGAACAATAACACCAGCTAAAGAAGTATTAAATATTAAATTAATTCATGCGTTTTAAGAAATTATTTTAAAAATGATTTTAGGATGGATTTTTAGTAAGAGTTTTGGATCAAAACTCAACCCCAGCCAGCTTAAAATCAGAATTAAGACTAGATTTAGCAAGGAAATGTGTTGATGCTCTTGGTATGGCTTCTTACGACGACGATGTAGGCCCTCAAACGTTAAACATAAAAGTTGATGAAGAAATTGGAAGCGTTCACTCTGGGAAAGAATTTGGTTTACTCAGAACGACGACCGGTAAAGTTTATTATTGTGGAAAAGCTAGCGCGCTGGGTTTAAAACAATCTGGGCCGGGAATTGGAAAATGGAGGGAATTAATTTTACCCAAAAACTCGATTGTAAAACAAATAGCTGTTGGGCACGACGGAATGCATGCTATTTTATTAACGGATGAGAAAAAAGTTTATTTTGTTGGTACATCGCGAAGAGGTGAAGATGGAGATTTAAGTAAAATTCGTCGCCAACCGAAACCAAGTAAAATCAAGAAAATGACTGATTTTGATCATATAGCTCAGTTTGTTGCTTGTAATAGTGGTACTACAGCTATTATTACTGTACAAGGAGAGTTGAGAATGTTTGGAAAGGATGCTAGTCATAATGACCAACATGGTTTGTGATAAAGATTAAAAAAATAAAAATGAATAAATAAAAAAAAACATTTTCTTTTGTAGGGCGTTTAAAATATCTTAGCGATAAATACATAAGTAAAGTTGCTTTGGGAAAAGCTCATGGTGTTGCTATTTGTAGTTCAGGTCATGTTTATACTTTTGGAATAAATAATAAGTTTCAATGTGGAAGAGATTTTATTCCACCAAACAAAGAAGGTTAATTTTTAATTTTTTTCCTTAAACTGTCATGTAATGTTGTAATTGCAAGGCTGTTTTGATAAAAGAAAGTTGATTATTTCGCTTCATACCTTGATATGTTCCTTGCCTGCAATACACAACATTCCAGACTTTTTGATGTAAATAATTAAATTATTATGTTATTGTATTGTTTGATTGGGTTTTTTAGAAACTGTTATGGCTATGGATACTTGTGGTGCTCAAGATGAATTGGATGTTTATGACGATTTGGAAGATGTTAAAGAAGAGTTACGAAATCAGCCAGGTAGTTCAGAAGGAAACGAACCTGATGGAGGATTCTTAAGAAGGCAAATGTGTCCCCCTAATATGCATTCATGGCTTTTTAGCAAATGTATGGTTTGTACTGTTTGTAAACAGTGTACTGGTTATTCTTCAGGATGTCATTCTTCAGCATTACCTGGCCGAATTCCTGGAACGTAAGAGAAGATTTAAAAAACAATTAACAATATTAACTTTTCTAATTTATATTTAACAAAAAAATGTATTTTTGTAGTGAATGTGGTTGTGGTGAAGGAGCATCAGGTTGCGTTTTATGTGGATGTTGTAAAGAGTGCAGCCAGTTGCAGAGTATCGATAATAACTTGGAAGTGGCGACAAACGACGTGGTAGGTGGTGGTGCTAATAACGCGGGCGGGGTCGTACGGCTGGAGCTAATGTACAGGGAGAAAGCAAATGAGACGGCGCAGCCCCGCCACAGGGCCAGACTACAAGAGCAAGTTTGTATATCAACCGCACTTATTTGCTCGCTTTGCCTGTTACTATTTTAGAGTCTTGTGTAACTATCCTCTATTTTAAAGTAGATTTTATTAACGGACATGTGTTTATCTCAAATTTTCTTTTCCTATAAATCGATTTGAATTGTTCATAAAATTTGTGGATTAAATAAAAATTAAAGTTATTATTTACAGCTAAAAAGCCGATTGGTTGAGGCACAAAATAGGCGGAAAAACTTAGTAGGAGTTGGTGGTAAACAAATTATTAAAGGGAAAAGTATTAAAACCCCACCTTCCGTGAATTCATCGCCTAGTCATATTTCAAATTGTCCTATTAAAAGATCTAATGGCTTAGGTAAATGTTTTTGTTACACAAAAATAATTTTTAAACATTTCATATTATTTTAGCTAAAGAACATATTGGATCTGATGTTGAACGCGACACAACTCGAGTTGCTTCTTTAATACCCGCGAAGATTTGCATTCCTGATGAAATCCCAGCTGTTCAAGTCGCGTGTGGATTACATCATAGCGTGGTTCTTCTCCAAAATGGCAATGTTTACACTTTTGGATCTAATCAATATGGTCAATTAGGTTGTGGAGATATTTTAGCCAAAGCAAGTCTTCAATTAGTTAAATTACCATGTGCTGCAGCTCAGGTTGCAGCAGGAAGTAATCATACTATTATTTTAACAGTAAAAGGAGAAGTTTATACTTGTGGCGCACATCAGGTTTGTTTTCTTTTATATACCAATATTGCAACTAAATCACATAAATTTTTTTTTCTTATAGAAAGGTCAATTAGGTCGTATGCCACCACAAAACTCTATACATGATTCAACCCAACCTGGTGGTAGCACAAAACAATATCAAAATCCAAGATATCCTTGGTACGCAACACCAGCTCCAATTCCAAATATTGGACCAAGAACAAGTAGAAAAGCAACTTGGATAGGTGGTTCAGGTGATCAAACATTTATTAAAGTTGATGAGTGTTTGATAAGTGCTTCAAGTTTATCCTCATCAACGATCTTAGCGAATAAAGATACATTATTAATAACCCCAAAGTTTGATAAAGACACGAATAGATTTAAATGTTTAGCAATTCATAAACAAGATGGGGAATGTGTTGCGTTTAAAGGAAACGATCAAGTAAATTTTCGAAACAAATTAGTTTGTTTAGATGGGATTTATAATGTGCTTTGGGTGTATAATCCAAATGGAAATTTGATTGAGTTGTATAACGTTGGTGCCAAAGAATTGTTACAAAAAAATCTGATTGATCATAATGAATCAGAAAGAAATAAAATCCCATTGATTTTAACACCAGAATTATCTTTACCTCTAATTGCTGAGTGTCAAGTTACAAGAATACAAGCAGCTATAAATTTACTTTGTTGTTTGGATACTTTAACAACAAACGATTTATTATTCAATTATCGTAAAGATGAAGATGTTACTATGGGTAGTTATAACGTTTTTGGTAGAAACGATTACCAAGCTGTTAATAGATTTGAAAGTCATGGTGGTGGGTGGGGTTATTCAATACATAGCGTTGAAGCGATTCGGTTTATGGTTGACACCGATATTTTATTAGGAGGACTTGGATTGTTTGGGGGAAGAGGTGATTACACTGCTAAAATAAAACTCTTTGATTTGGGAGCTGAGGGCGGTGAACAAGAAGGTGATGGACAACTTATAGGAGAAAACGATGAGACTCCATATGATTGTGCACCTAGACAAAAATATCAAATGATGTTTGAACAACCAATACCATTACAAGCTCATCGCTGGTATGTTGCTTGGTGTCAAATAAATGGTCCAAGTAGCGATTGCGGATCATCAGGACAAACTATGGTCACAACAGAGGATCAAGTCGTTTTTTATTTTAAATCATCTAAAAAATCTAATAACGGAACTGATGTAAATGCTGGCCAAATACCGCAATTACTTTACAGGGTAATAACTCCAGAAATAAGACAACCCAACAAAAAATATCTCGGAATAAATGATAACCCGGTTACTTTAAGTCAAGAATTTTCTAAAACCGTTACCGTTGAATGTTTCCATAGTCTTCAATCTTTATTACAATGGGCATGGAATACTTTTAAACGCGGTATATCGGATGGTACACAACAAATGTACACTTTACTCGAATTAGAACGACTTGTTTATGTATGTAGGGCAAGTTTAAGACTTTTAACAACGTATACAATCGAGATTTATCCAAATAAAGTGTATCCAAAAAAAGAGATGCAAGAAACGAATCAACTAGCAGAATGTATCGCGGATGTTAGAACTTTATTAAGACAAATAATGTCTGATAATTTACCATCGATATTACAAAATAAAAAATCGTCCAAAGCAAAAGGCAAAATAGATATGTCTTTGATTCTTATGAATAGTATTTTAGATGAGTGTCATGAAACTTTCGTAACATGTTTTCATGCATTTTACCCAACAGCTTATTTAAAATGGACGTGTTTATGTGATTTATTATTCGATATAGAACATGTAAGTTCATCAGAAAAAGAATTAATTGTTATAATTTTATGATATTTTAGGAATCAACAATGCCTACTGGTAGAAATAGCCAAAGATTACTCAGTGCACTTTTAAGAGCTTTATCAGGTCCTACGGTTCGTTTAAGAAGTACATTTCCATTACTTTCGACTTCAATTGGAAGAGAAAATATTCCACATAAAGAAATAAGTCCGTCGGATAATAATTTTCCGGCTTTAAATGTTTCGGAATCACATTATTATCCTCTACTTGTAGAACAAATGTCTTATAAAAGTCAAGTATGTATTTTTATTGCAGTAATTAATTTTTATTAGCTTTAGATAATGTAGGTCAAAGTTGTTATAGGTTATGTCATATCAGTTTAGCCATATTACGTTGTTTATAAGCGGCTCAATGGTCTAGGGGTATGATTCTCGCTTTGGGTGCGAGAGGTCCCGGGTTCAAATCCCGGTTGAGCCCAATTTTTTTTCTTTTTATTTATTAAAATAAAATAATTTATATTAATTTTATTTGATTTTAGCTGGATTTAAGTATGGGAGATTGTTTATCATGGAAAGATGTTTTAAATAGACTCTTAAATTTAATTAGCGAACCCATAAGAAAAGAATTACTGGATCAAAAATCTTCTTCTTTACCAAGTTTAACCAAAAATTGTTGTCATTTACTTGCAAGGGTCGTCTCTGAATTGGTTACACAATGTACCACGAATGATGTATGAATAATTTTTTTATGGTTTTAATTAAAATAATTTGTTTTAAAATTCCAGGATGATATTTATAGCGTTTATGGTCATACAGTTCATATGACACCACCTCGATTTACTAGAACGAATCAATCGAGAACTTGGAATACCGGAAATGGATCTCCTGAAGCGATTTGCTTACAAGTTGATCGATCTGGAATATCTATCGTTGGTATTGGAGTTTATGGAGGTGTTGGACATTACGAATGCGATTTAGAAATATTAGAAGATGTAATATTTTAGATATTAATATTTCTTTTGGGATTATTTTTTTTAAATTTTTAGCAAAACACTGTTGGTGTTACTGAAGGTGCTCATACTCATACCCAACGTTGGAATTGTATAGAATCAGTGAAACATTGCTTTGAAAGTACCGATTTCAACCCAGATATAGCAGAATTAAAATTCCATAGACCAGTTTCCATTAAGGAAAATGTTAAATATGCTATACGTTTAAAAAATCATGGTGGTAAAACGAATAATGGCGATGGTGGGTTAAGTTCTGTTAAAGGCTCGGATAATACTACGTTTACTTTTTCAACATGCCCCTTGAGTTTTAATGGAACTACAGTTGCGCGTGGACAAATTCCTGTGATTTTATACCAAAGGTGATTATTTTTTATTTTAAATTATTTGTATGTTAATTGAAATTGAATAGTAATCCAGTTGAAACTGCCAGAGCTTCAAGTACTAAATTAGAAAAATTAGCCCGACAAGAAGCAATGTCCATGACAAAATCAATCGTTGACACATCATGTAATCTTCTTTCAATGGCAAGAGAAAAAGCTGATGAAGTCGCCTCTGTGGATATTCTCAGTAATACTTCAATCATTAAGATTTTATTACCACTAGTTATGACTCATATAAGTTCATTAGCTAATAATAATCCAAGAGTAAGTTTATATAAAACTTAGTTATTTATTAATTTCTTGTTTTATGAATTTTAGTGTGCTGTTGAAATTTTAAACTTAATACAAGAAATGTTACCCCACATCGCTGCTTTAAATTTAATAGCAGGAAGTACAATACCTGATTGTATGGGTTCAACAAATTTCGATCTTGATAATAACATAAACACTACAAGTCAGCATTATGCGTGCGTACAAAGCGAACACCCTTATAAACCAGCCACTGTCTCCAATTATCGGTAAAAAGTCGTGATAAAAATAATTATAACTATTATTTATTATAATATATGTTTAGCGTAAAATTCCCGGAAAGTGTAAAATGGATTGGAATTGAATTCGATCCAAATTGTTCAACAGTCCAACCAGAGGACACCCTCCAACTTTACGTTCCTTCCAACAACGATTTTTGTCTTGAAATAAAGGATTCGTCAGAAATGGTGACATCACCCTATTGGCCTGTAAGCCAAAAATTTTCGTCCGCGTGAGTAATATTAATTAAAAAAAATAAAAATGGATTGATTTTTATTAATTTATTAGAAATCCTTGGCCTCAAAATGCGCTTCTTCTACCCGGAAACGAAGTAATATTTTCTTTAAAAACTGCTTCAGATTATTTGAAGAAAAATGATGTTAGCGCTTATGGATTTAAAGCCATGGTTATTGGTTATGAATGGCCTGCGGTTATTAACTCAGAATTGAAACATTTGGAATCGGAATTGTCGTTTTTAGGGGGAATGTGTGCTGCTAATATGATCAAAAAAGATTTACAACTTCCAAATGTACCAGGTAAATGTATACAATTATTAGAGTTATTTGCTTTATAATTATTACATGGGAATTATAAATTATATATCTCTGTGGACATGACAGATTTTTTTGTCAAAAAGATAGTAATATATATTTTCTTATGTGTGTTATTGGCTACTAATATTATTACTAATATTATGTTAGTATATTTATGTTATTTTCTTAAATTATGTGACTATACTGTCATCATAAGGATGAGTGTGGCATCTACAGAAAATTATGAAATTCAGATTTTAACACGGTGGAACTCAGAAACAAACATTTTTCTCGATTTACTAATCACAATTTTTTTGCCGTATCTACAAACTTCTGTCAGATTGTAAGCTAAACTGATTGTGAGACAACCTTGCTTTAATAAAAAAAAACAGTCACCCACATCTGCACATAGATGCTGCTGTTATAGTATTACTATGATACATTAAGTCAGTATTGACTTGTAACAAAGCAATAAACAATATACATTGTTAATACTAATTCAAGAATTGATTCCAATAATAAAGACATAACAGATTTCTTTTTGTGCCTAGATCTACTGGATAAAACGTAACCTATTAAATTCATATCCGAAATTATTTTTAAATTTACCCACAGAATTGATAGTTCCAGAATCAAATAACATATTAGCTGCAGAGTCGAGCAAGATGTCAGATGCATAGTCAATACGTGCGCATGAATTGAATATTAAAAGTTATAAAATTGAATGTGTAAGGAGACGTAATGTGTAGTATGTGTAGAGTTGGCAATAATATGAGAAACACAGAAACCAATAAAAAAGTAATTTATTAAAGTTTAACAAATTGATGTTCATGCAAAAAATGTTTAAAGAATTTGATACTAGTGTAAATTGCTAACAATTCTCTATCGAATGTTGAATAATTTATTTGGCTTGAAGATAATTTTTGAGAAAAAATGCTAAAGGGTTGTGTTTTATTCTTTATAGTCCGTGATAAAACTGCTCCCATGCCTTTACTTGAGGCGTCTGGCGTCAGTGAAAGAGTAGCTTGTGGTGATGGATTTTGATAAAAGTTCTTTGGCTGTAGTGAAGGAACTGTCGTGATGATGTGTCTAGGAAGTGATTGATTTCAGTTTTTGTGAATAAAGCGTTTTTGATAAATGATGTAACGGAGCTAAAATGTTTGAGATGTTTGGCAAAAATCTGTGATAAAAATTTATCATTCCTAAGAATCGTTGTAATTGTTTAAGTGTGGTTGGTTTTGGAAATTCAGTTATGGCATTAACCTTAGATTGCGAAGGGCGAATGCCGTCTCTAGAAATATGATGACTTAGGAAATTTAAAGTTCTAACTTCAAAAACACATTTTGTTGATTGAATTTTGATATTACAAGAGCCTCTCAAACAACTGTTGTAAATGAAGTTAATGTTCTCCTTTATTGCGACTGGCTACTAGAATATCATCTATATATACAGAAAGGAAATCTAAGCCAGAATGAAATTCGTTTATAAACCTTTGAAAGGTTTGTTATTACGTAAATCGAAAGCCATTCTTGTGAATTCGAATAGACCAAACGGTGTAGTGAAACCGTTTTAGGAATATCGTCTTCTTCTACAGGAATTTGGTGATACGCTCTTACCAGATCTAATTTTGAAAAAATGTTGCAATTATCCAAATGTAAATTAAAAACCTGTATGTGCGAGAGAGGATAACGATCTGGTACAGTGATGTTGATATTTAATGAATTTTTTGAAGTGATAATAATAATTTTTCATATAGCAACATGTTTACTTGTTTATACATGTCGTGTGCAATAATATGGCATGAAAATCATTTAGACAGAAATAAAGAGGATATCATTAGTAACTTTTCTTATGTGGGAACTTTATTAGTCTCTAGCCCTTGTTGTTTTTTAATAATCTAATTATAACTATTCATATTGTACTTAATTATGTTATTCTCAATGGAAATGATAAAACATTGACTTTTCCGAATGCGCTAACATTAACTTCCTGTACTAAATTTTCATAAACTAATATAATATTCAAGGACTTTACCCAAACTCGTTTAGTTATATAAATTTCGTTCTTATAATATTTCTTTGTTCCAGGTCATTCCAATGATATTGAAGCAGAAGAAGCTGCTGAAATCGCCGCCCAAAGGACGTTGACGAAACATGGTGCTTTACTTTCAAAAGGATTAGCTTTGAGTTCACCACCAACTGTTCTACAAGCTTTAGATGGAACACTTCCTTACAGGTAAGTTAAAAGTATATTATCCATTTTAATTTTCTCAAATTGTGTTGAATATATTTGCGACATTATGTGAACCGCAAGTTTAATGATTTGATTAATTTTGCTTCATATACATATACTGCATTGAAATTTGTATGCGTTAGGACCGAGTTGGGTCATTGTAAAATGAAATTTGACTATTCATGAGAAAACTTTGGAATTGGTATGTAAACTACATGTACAACCGCCACTAACATTTGAATTTCTATAATTGAAAAGTACACCAACAAAACAGTTCGTCATAGAATTTAAATTGCGAAATCTAGAAACATCTACTTTAATTACATTCTATTTACGTTCGGTTAAAATAAAAAAACAGTAAGAACATTAAAGCCTCACTTTATTATTATCTTTTTAACGTCTAGGAATACTGATGCTACAACACAGAAATAACATAATAAATAAAAATGTACAAGAGATCTACAACTTAACAAAATAATATCTACAAATCCGTAGTGAGCAAATCAGTTCGTTCTACAATAACATGTAATTCAGTTTCTCTATATGTTCTTCCATCCGGTACAATCATATTTAATTTTCCTGATTTATCGTTTTTTTCTTCTCCATATTTATCGCATCTATAAACCTTTTTAAAATAACACCATAATCCGGTGCCGATTAAAATCACTAATATTAATGCCGTACATAAAACGATGATTAACGTCGCGTTGCTAGCTAAGATGGAACAACTCGAGCCTTTGTATTCTTGGTAACTAGTCGGGGTGTCTTCGAAACAATAAATGCTTTCCAATTGGTAATCGTTTTCTAATTGAGTTATTCTCCTACAATCACACGGTTCTTGAGTAAATATGTTGTTGATCTTTAAATCGAATCCGGTGGTGTTTATTTTAAATGTTTTTGTTGTTATCTCGTTGAACATGACGTTATCTAATATAATCAGCTTTCGTACTGAAGTGTCGCGGAGGTTTAAGCTGATCCCGATAAAGGGACTATAAGTTGTGTTAAGAATGCAGCTTCGAAAAACAACATCGCCTCGAGTCATTATTCTAAAAGCTTCGCCGTCTAAATGGGAAAAATTACTATTGGTAACTTCAAATCTTTGTGGATTATCTATTATAAATGCTCCTGGGTGGACCGTTGTCATATTAGTATTGCTTATCATAAAATTGTCCCATACGATTAAATCCGAGAATGATCGACTGGGTAAATATTCAAACTTCGAATTATGAATATTTAAATTTTCAGTGGAAAATTTTTTAAACGCTGAAGGTTGCATGTTAATTATATGCGAATTGTAAAACGCTATGTTTTGACTTTGACTAATCGAAGAAAACGCGAATGGGGCTATATTTTCTATTTTAGTTTTGTCAAATTCTATCCTATTGATTTTACCCATAAAACTGTAACTGGCTATTTGTTTAATCGTTGTGTTTCTCACTATTACTTTTAACGAAGGAGTGTTTAAATCAATTGCCGCTGCATATCCTTCCCAATGAAAACATCTCTCATTTAAATTTAACTCGGAAATATCGCTTAATTCAATTTCTCGAAGGGTGCGCATTGTTTTAATTGAATTTTCACCAAATGTAACCACCGGACATTTTCTTATTCTTATGGCGTTAAGGTCGTGGTACAGAAACGAGTCTTCTTGAATTACCATTACCTAAAAAGACAATGTTATTAGATCTAAATGGGTGCTGATAACCATACTTTGTATCAATGTCAAATGCAACAAAAAGGTGCAACAATGAAATTACGAGTTACGCATATTTAGATACCTGCGTTGTATCATCTGAACATGTACATTCAAGGGCAGATCCCATTCCTCCTAACCATTGACATCCGAAAGACGGTTCGTCGTCGATCTGCTGCATCTTCGAATTGCCATCTCCCGACCCATAACCGTGAAGAATCGCTTCGCCGGTGGCGAAAAACAAAAGGAAAACTTCGACCGCAGCGAAGCCCGCACTCATTTCTCCCGTCGTAAGTCCATCTCTTTACCGAAACGTGTTCTATTCGTCCGAAACGGGTCTCATCTGAAAAACAGAGACAATACGATTTGAGTCGGCGTTAGATACCACTCACAGGTGACTCATAATCAACAGTGGTCGTGTTATCTTAAACCTTAGAACATCGACCTATATTAGTAATGTTATAGTTTCAAATTGCTTTTAGATATTTTTAGATCATCCGAAAAGGAATGTACCATTATAAAGAAAAGTTCTTAAACTTTACACAATTAACTAAAAAAATTATCAAAAGTACAAAGGAGTTTAATTTGAATTTTAAATTTAAGTTTAAAATGTAAAGGTAAAATGAAAGGCAAAGGGGTAATCTACTAAAAGTCAAGAGATTTGCGTTTTAATTTAAACCGAACCTTTTCATCCGCCCTAAAAAGATTTTTTCCTATACTTCATAAAGGCTCAAAATAATTTACATACTTATCCCCTTTTTGTATTAAAAGAAAAGCTTTAGAAATGATTAAATTTAAATGCTATGGGTTTCTTTTAATATGTCATCACCGTATTAAGATGTGATGTCAATCTTTTTTCTAAATTTTCAAATTCATAAATCATTACGAATGAATCATATATTTCAAAATATGCAAAAAAAAAATCTATTTTATTTTTATAAATTACCCTCCACCTTAAAAGAAAAAATGAGATAATCCTATCTTTTAAAGTGCTGATCCGCACACTTTGAAACTTTGCCAAAACTCTTCCTTGCCAAAAAGTCTCATTAAATTTTTACGAGAAAAAAGGGCTATAAACACTTCATACCGTTTTTGTGAATACAAACTTTCTTAATCTTATCTCCCCATTTTAGATAATATTTGATCGTAAGTTATTGTTGTCATACCTTATTCTTTTAAGTCCGTTATTAATTACATTTTCTTTTGGGTATATTCAAACTTTTTTATTTTTTAATTTTCACTCAACACTTCAAATACAACTTTAAAAATTTCTTCCGAACGACAATCGTTGAGACCGTTCTTATCACCTCGACGCTGAGAACTAAAGCACACGACACAGTCAAGGATTTTGTTAATATCCTAAGGTGCACACTCAGCAAACGTGCGCACTGGTCAAACGCTGTCCAACAAAATTTATATTCATAACTTGCTGTGTTTAAAACGACTTGCTTTTTACAAAATCCGCTGATGATTCCAGTCTTTATCTCTTTTATCGGACCGATTAAACAAATTCTATGTGCGCAATGGGTTACAAATGGACGCGTTTTACTCCGTTTTATCGACTGACACAATAATATACACGGCAATGAGTCAACTTTTATTTGATAAAATGAAATATTTCTAAACTCTGTGGTTTTGAAAGGTTTTTTTTATTAAAAAAATTATTTTAACAATTTACACAACTGTGGATTTTCATCAAAAAATAGGTCAGATACAAATCGTAAAATTCTTTCGTGGTCGATGACTAAAAAACTTACGTCCGTCGTTAGGAAATGTTGTTGATTGAAAATGATTGTTATAGTAGCGAGGTGAACTTGAAATTATTTAAACGACAAGGTTCTATTCATCGCTCTGATATTTTACGACAATTTGAGGCGGTTTATGTGGGCACATCACCGTTCGCCGCGCAGTCTTGTTTGCATACCATTTTCTCACTTCCAAGCATCTGACTTTGTTTGTTGATGTACCTTTACAAACATACGTATATAGTTTCCTTTTTTTAAACAACGTTGTTCCATTCAGTCTGTTAAGGTGCAAGTTTTAAACCTATTTTTAGGCAAGAAGACAGTATCCAGTGTTTTTGCCTTGTCTAACTTATTAGATGAATCATCCTCAGCGCACCAAAAATAACTATTATAACATTTCAAATAATAACAAACTTTTTTGCTTAATAAAAAAACATCCTAGCACCATTAAAAAACGCATTAAATTTTGTAGGCTGTTTGCGATTTATTTATTATTAGTCATAGTGACTGAATTTTAAAATATATCTTTGAAATTGTTTTAAAACTCTTAAATCAAAGGAGATAGTTTAAGATCTTCATTTGTTTTTTTTTTATTTTTATCAAATTGGTGTGACTAATGTTTTCGATTATTAGTAAAAATGAGTGTTGTAATTTTCTACTTTTTCCGATTATATGTGGCGACTAACAGAGATTCTGGAGATTCCTGCACAATATCCGATTATGCAAAACCACATAATAAAGTAAAACTCGAACGCGCTTTGTCTTGCGCTTCAATAAATGATGAGAAGTGACTAAGAAAAGAGAAAACGTTAATTTATAGCACTCGAATCAGGAAACAGCTTTGATTTTCATTCCCTTAAATTGACGCTATTAGGAACAAGGTTATTAAAACAGATTGCGCCACGTCAAAGAGGCTGATAGAGTTTGTTTGATTCTGTGGTAAACCGCTAATCTATCGCTACTGCTTTTTAACGCTGGTTGGGTTGAATAGATCGGTGAGGTGTTCTTACTGTTGCTATAAACGCCAAAGACACTTTTTACAAGTTTGGAACAACAGATTAAGATGTGAAGTTAGAGAAAAAAGAGTCACTATGGTTCTTTGAGGTTGCTCAAAAAATTCCGGGACGTCGAAGCTATTAAGGGATAGACAATCTGGGTTTCTGGTTTTTACAAAAGAACTTGAATGAACTCAACTGTATAATTGAGACAGCTTTTAGAACTTAAACATAAATTCCAGAATTCATAGAAACAATTCTTATTTAATGGCGTGACAGAGAAGTTGAACTAGATTGTGCAAATACAAAATCTAAAAACACAAGTTTATGGTTGCATTATTCCAGAACTCAGTCATAAATTCTTCTGTAAACCTAGGATCGCTTAAGTAAGTACCAAGTGATTATAAGATTCCAGAACTCAGAATCACAGATAAGTCAACAACAGAAGATGTTACCAGATTGGTCATGAGCTCCCCGAATTCTGGAACTCACGTTCATATCAGAACTCAAGTCTATGATTGAGTGATTTTTGCAGCTGTTCCTGCAAATTCTTGACGCACAGTTTGAGTCGCAATGTTAAAAAATTTCAAAACTAATTTTCGATGTATGGATCATAGGTCGCGAATGTGTGAAATATTAACTGGAATAATAGTGGCACAACGAACATTTCGTACTCATTCCAATGTCTGCTCATTCCGACCATCCCAACATAATGAAGAAATAAATTAACTTTAAAAGTAGATTGCCTTCCACGAACATCAAGGATGACAGAAAGGCTACGGGGTTGAGAATAGTTTTGATCATCAGTCCTAGACGGTTCAACTCGACAGTATGTTGTATTATACATAAGACATGAGAAAATTAAAAATGTTTTGAAAACGAACCTCAAATTTCATCCGTAATCGATATTGTAAGACGAACATAAGTGTATTCACGATGAATCTGATGCTTTCATTTTCATGAGCAACGAGGCTCATTGGTATTTAAAACTTTGAAAACCTGAGTTAGCCGCATGACAGAGCTGTATCATTGGCTTCTTCTTTCTTGGAAAGGGTAGAGGAAGTCATATAGATTTCAACAAAATGAGACTCTTCACACAATAAGGTTCTCAATTAACGGAGGTTTTAGAATTCAACCATAATTTTCTGGGAATAATCTTGGTGACTTGGGCAGTTAGTAGCTAGATATTCAAACTTCTCAATCTGGAGGATTATTGCCTCGTGAACTCGATGTAAGTTCACCAAAACAGTTCAGTTTTACATCCCACTGATCAACCCACTGCTGGTGAAAATTTCGCTACCCAAAGCCCAAAATGAGGAAACGATCCGACCTCGCTGATTAAATTTGTCATTGAATAACTTTTAAGTTGTTTGTTTTAATGTTTAGTTAGTCACAATTATTTGGATTATTTGTTTAAAAATAGAAGCAAATTTAAAAAATTCTTCATGAGACTGGAAGAAATTATTTCATAGCAATTAAAATATGTATAAAGAACTTGAACCAAAACTGATAAGAATAACCTATTAATATTGATTTCCGTTTATCACATAATTACCTTGACTCACAATTAGCGACATGCCAGAAACGTCTAAAATTATTGCATTAAATGAACATCAAAATGAAGTTGAAAAAGATAGGATATATATAATGATATAATATATTAATTCTTCTCACGTTTTAATGTCTTTATGAAGATTGCATACCAAATCAATATTTCGCCGCCCCATCAATTTGTTTTTTTTTATACGACATACAAAAAACTGTCGAAGTACAAACCAATAAACGTCAAAATGACGAACGCATTGGCTAACAGGAGCGAATCGCATGATTAATTTGCACTAGAAATACATGATAGTAGTTTACATGGTAACCAACTTGTGTGATTAAACGCTTCGTGCTGTATATGCTCTAGGCAAATGGTACCTTAATATTTGTGGGTGTTAATCATAAAAATGGTTCGTAGCGATTGTGGTGTTTATATTTATTTAGATAGAGTTATAAGCTCCCAAGACTCACGACAAAAAATCCCCATATGTGTCAATATATTGGGGCTGCAGATGGGATCATCAACTGGCGACGCGTTTGTTTGCTCTTTTGGATACGCAGCGGTCTGGAACACGTGTATTTCCACCCGATCAGGCGTTTTATTTGCTTTTTCTTCACCACCGTCGGATGTGTACTCAATTAAAATGCTGGGAAAAATATCACGAACGTCATAATATTTATAGGTATAACAAATATTCAAATGAAGACAATCTTTTTTGTTTTTAAAAGAATTTCATGTATATATTTTGATCATATTTTTAATTTGCAGTTTATTTTTTTCTGAGTATTTGCGTATCTGTAGCATTGAACTGCTTCGAAACACAGAATTGCGAATAAACCCTAATAGAGCGTGCCAACTACAACGAGATTATGATCAGGAAGGCGTAAACTACGCCCGAAGCCCATATTCCATATCCATAGAGTCACGTTCGGAGCATCGAATTACGTCGGCAAATGGAGGGGTATTTTCAAGCGGAAACGCACGCCGCCGATAAAAGCTAATAGTCCCCATTCGAATTAAAATACCTCACCACTTGAAATCGAAAATTGCAATATCATTCTTAATACTAATTTAAATCGTCTAGATTAATTGAATAAAAACTCACCAACACGATACAATTAAACATTGTAAATAACTTAAAAAGGAATGAACAAGAATGCAATATAAAACAATACCGGGTTGGGTATAATATATAAAAGAATAATGGTACTGTTAGAAGAATCTTTGCTCTCATCTGATCAATGGGAAAACAAACGCGAGCGGGCGATTGTTCTTGAAGTAGGCGTGTCGTAGATCAAAGAGGCCGCGTACAGTTTGCGCAACTAGCGTTTCTTCAGAGTAAATATTTGCCGGTCATTACTCGAAACGAACGTTTTAGATAATCATCCGTACGTATGCCAGACCACAACTCATGTAAAATTGATATATTATTATTCGACAAGGTCAGAATTGCTTCGTTAAATTCGCGTGGAAAAAAATGTGTTAACTTGTATGTTAGTACTCTTAAGTCAAGGTTAATCAAATTGAATAAACAATTTATATAACGATCTACATATTAATATTTGCTCACTGGTTAAAGTTCATCTATAAAGATTATAAAAAATTTGTACTTTTTAAATTCTTTTTGTTAAATTTTTTTTCTTGGAAGAAATAGATTATTTATTGACCAAGATCGTATTTGCAAATTCTTATTTATCTCGCTGTCGAAACGTGCAATGTTTTATTCATCCATGATACAACCCGTAATCGGATCTAATCATCGCCGTTCGGTTAACGCGCGCAGTTTGCGATTTACAAAGCGACCTACAGAAAACGGCATTGTCGACGCGCGTAAAGTTCTAAATATAGGAGTTATGCGATTTAGATATGCGTCGAGAAAATAAAATGTCAAACGTGCGCCGAGGAACAATGGGCTTTAGAAGTTTTTTGTTTGAAAGAACTTTTAAGAACCAGCGCGGTAAAGCAAAAAGAATTTATTCCATTTTCTATGTACCTCGTTAGAACGGCTAAAATATTATCATATCATATTATTAATATTATCAATTTAATACATCAGTATATTTAAATATAAATGTTTGCGCTTATAGATAGAATCCACCTCGGGTTATTTCCCAAGTTGCCCTATTCAGTCTATTCCATGTTCTTAGATAAACTTCGGGGTATTCCCCGAGTTATCTAGACGATGAAGT